ATTCAGAATGGGCTAACCATTGTCTTCCTCTCAAGTTGAGAGAGTGTGACTTGCCCAAGATCTCAGTGGGTTTCTAGGTTGAGCTGGAATTCAAACCCTAGTGTCCTAGCATGCAAACTCCACATTGGCTCTTGGGTTGCAATTGCAGAACAGTAAAACTCTCAGAACATAAATCTCTGCCAATGTACTTATGCCTGTGTTCAGGAAAAAGCTGTCAGATTCTTCTTTTTCCCAGGGTACTCAAGGGCAAATGGAGCTCATGGGTGTCACTTTGACTGACTCCAGGGATACTGGATACTGCAGCATCTTTAAAACTACTTACAGTCTGTTTTCATAAGTGGGGGTACACCATCATATGCTAGCAGCAGGGTGCTCATTCTTGGTTTCTTCATCACTACCACCATTCTGTTTCTAGTTATAGCAGGGCAACAAACACCTCTGGAATATATGGTCTTAAAGCAGGACGCTCTTGACCAATTCTGTGTGCTGTAGGAAATGATGCAGTTCTAGTTTCCATTGGTCTGATCAGAGGCCTTTTCTACTATATCATGTAACCAAAAAATCTAGACATTCTTGCATAAATTATGAGTGCAAACATAACACTCTTATTAAATGAAATATTTTGTAATGAGAAGAAGCAGGAATAGGTGCCTAAACAGACTGGTGCTTTTATTTTGCTCACCTTCAATTATGGGAACCCTAAAACTTACAGGTTCCACCTTCCTTCACCCATTGGAAGCTGTTTATCCAAAATGAAATCTGATTTCATAGCTTCTCAAGCCACATGATCCTGAAGCAGCTCCAACCGAATCATGTGTCTCTTGTACAAGCTTCAAGGCAGAATCCACGACAGACAGAGAGCCATGGGATCCTACTTGCCATGATGGGTCTGTTAACTGTTGTTGTTCCTTGCCTCAATCCATGGAGAGAGGCGGGTAAGAAATAAATAGATAAATTAATAATAATAATAATAATAATAATAATAATAATAATAATAATAATAACTTCCAAATTTTTGATATGAGCCACTCAGGGCCAGCCTAAGGGACTTTGCTGGCTGAGCAGCAAATGGTGCTTCCCACAAGTAATCTGGTCAAGGTGCATAGAAACCAACTTTAGCCAAGATATTTTGGCGCATGAAAAAGATAATCTCCCAACTTTTGACTGTAAACATATAGTAATAACCATGTAAGTAACTAGACATGTGCTGCCTTTTCATGACACTCGAAGGCCAGAATCTTTTATGGCACAATGTAGCATCATAATTCTGCATCTACAGCATAATAATTCTGCATCTACATTCAACACCCTCTCCTCAGGCTTACCACTGAATCATTGCATACTCCTCACAGCCATTATATGACTGGTGAAGAGTGGTGATGGAGACTAGAGAAGCTCTTCTGGCCCTGGCCCTGTCACTAGATGCAAAATGATTTCATCATCTGCTGAGACCTTCTGAAGACTCTGTCAGGTCTCAGTGGACGATGTACCATTTCACATCTGGCTATGGGGACATAACCAGACATTTCTTCAATCCCCCCCCCCCAACTATCCACCTGCCACAGAATGACTATGGGGGAGAGGGCTGCTCTGGCTCAACATTAGGTTGAGGGTGGGGGACTTTGGAAATTGGAGAGGGAGGAAAGGAATACCAACTTCTGCAATGACTATGGAAAGACATATGCAGGCGTAACTGGATTTATGCCAGTGTATGCACTGGCTTAGTGGTTAAGATGCCAATTCTAACTATCATAAGATCAGAAGTTGGCAGTTTGAGGCCCAAGTGCTGCATGACGGGGTGAGCTCCAATCACTAATCCCAGCTTCTACCAACCTAGAAGTTCAAATGCAAATACAAGTAAATAGGTACCACTTCGGTGGGAAGGTAACAGCATTCTGTGCAGTCATGCTGGCCACATGACCACAGAGTCATCTGCGGACAATGCTGGCTCTTTGGCTTAGGGCCTTTACAGACTGCCAGAAATAGTGCAAATTGAGGCCACTTTAACTGTCCTGGTTCAGTGCTAGAGAATCATGGAAATTGTATTTTTTTCTGGGACATTGAGCTTTCTCTGCTAGAGAGCTCTGATGCCACAATAAACTACAGTTCCATGATTCCTTAGCACTGAGCCAAGACAGTTAAAGTGGCCTCAATTTGCACTATTTCTGGCAGTCTGTAAAGGCCCTTAGTAACTGAGATGAGCATGGCCCCTACAGTCGATTATGATAGACATTCATGTCAAGGGACAACCTCTACCTTTACCTATATGCCACTAATGGGATGCCAGCCAGAATACGCTGCCTGAGGTAACTGCCTCGCTTTCCCTTATTTCCTTGCCAGGCCTTGGAGAAAAAACAAAAAAAGCAAAACAGCTTATGCATCATACTGACAGAGGAGTGCTTGGAGGTGATAGCAATCACCAAGCACTGGAAGGATTATTGTTGCTATGTGCTTTAGATGAGCAAAAGGAAATCTTTAATTTTTTTTACTGCCACAGCTGCAGTGGACCAAGAAGACACTTTTTCAGAGTCAGTTCATCTCCCATCTGTTTAATATGGTGGATATTCCCTTCAAGCTTGACATATAGGTCTACTCACATTGAAGACTGGTTTGGATGGGACAAATTAGGCACCAAAAGATGAAAACTGGTTCCATCTTGTTTTCCCTCTGTGTGGCTACAAATACTAGACAATGTAGATATGGCACAAATTTCCACTTCCTTGCACAATATCATAGATTCTCTAGAAGCCATACTCCCAATCCACTTGCCAAACAATGGCATTTTACCAGTGGGATGCAGGAGATGTGGTAGAAACACAGACATAACAGGCTTAATTGAGCTCAGTTGTGCTGAAATATGTCCAAAAAGGTGTACGCAAAGTATAAGCCTCCAGATCAGGGATAGGCAACCTTTTTGAGCTGGGGGCCAGGTTGCTGTCCCTCAGACAATTGGGGGGCAGCAGCACCAAAAACAAACAAACAAACAAACAAAAATATATTTTTAAAAGAATTTTAAAAAATTTAAAAATATGCATGCACACTCTCTGAGCCCCAGAAAAGCAATGGCAAAACCCCTGTGGAGATTTTGCCAAGAAAACCCCAAGAGCAAGTAATAACAACAATAATCAATATCATCATGGCGGGCGGCGGTGGCAGGACTGACCTAGGGCTGGTCCAAAGGCCTCGGGGGCCGCATCTGGCCTCTGGGCCTTAGGTTGCCTACCCCTGCTCCAGATTATGTAGGACTGCAATTTCAACCCATGCTAGTGGGTATGCAGGTTGGGACTGATGGTGGTTGCACTTGAGGAGGACTACATATTCCTTTTATCTTGGACCAAACCATTTAGCATGTTCCCATAGCATGAGATCACATGGCTGGATCATTAATGGACACGTGAGTCAACAATGAAACTAAAAGTGTCAAAACAACTTTATGGACAATAAATATGAATTATGTCCCGAGTGCTGCATGACTTCTGTCATTTGGGTTCTTTACTGGAATTAAGTAGTTCCTTTAAGAATCTTATTTCAGGGTCTGCCATTCTCCTAGACCCTCTCTCTGGTTATTGGGGGTGGGGGGTTGATAAGATTTATTCATAGGAGGTTTATCACTGCCTTCCTTTGGGGCTGAATGTATGACCTGGCCAAAGTCATGGTGTGTGTTTCTGTGGTGAATAGGGATTTGAACCCTTGTTTCCCAGAATCCCAGTGCAATGCACAAACCACTACACCACTCTGACTCTCCTGTTTCTGATACCAACTTCTTTTTCCTAAACAGAGGCAGTTGTAACAGAATAGCCTCAGTACTGCTGCCTCATAGCTTCCTTCCTGATATTTCTTGGATTGCTTTCTAAGAAGATGCTATGGTGCTGGATGTGTTTTTCTGTATTAGTTTAATGGATACTGTCACCACAAGCTAAATCAAAGGAATTGATGACCAGTAGTGGCCAGATACTGGGTTTGGGATCATCCAAAGAGGACTCTCCCAAATGGTCCCCAGAATTATAGGTGGATCCCATTCTTCCATCACTGGCTTGATAAACCTCCAATTGTTGTTGTTGTTGCTGTGTGCTTTCAAGTTGTGTCTGACTTATGGTGACCCTATGGAGACCCTATCACAGGGTTTTCTTGGCATGTTTCTTCAGAAGGGGTTTGCCATTATCTTCCTCTGAGGCTGAGAGAGTGTGAGTTGCCAAGGTCACCTAGTGGGTTTCCATGGCCAAGCCAGGATTCCAACCTTGATTTCCAGAGTCCTAGTCCAAAGCTCAAACCACTACTCCAAGCTGGGTCTCTAATAACCAATCTCCAATTACTTGCCTTTAAACACATCCCATTATTACTGAAGTGATATACACTGTAAACTGTAATTTCCTATCCATTAACCCCAAAGAAGCACATGCGATTCCAAGTGACTCCTAATTGGATATTTGGGTTGCGTTGTGTGCCTTCAATTGTCATTTCTAACTTATGGCGACCTATCATGGAGTTTTCTTGGCAAGATTTGTTCAGAGGGGGTTTGTCATTGCCTTCCCCTGAGGCTGAGAAAGTGTGACTTGCTCAAGGTCACCAAGTGGGTTTCATGACTGAGTTGGGAGCAGAACCCTGGTCCCCAGAGTCATAGGGGGGTTGCAGACTGCCAGAAATAGTGCAAATTGAGTCCACTTTAAGGGTTAGGGTTAGTGCTAGGGAATCATGGGAATTGTTTTTTGTTTTTCTGAGACAGTCAGAGAGCTCTGGTGCCACAATAAAATACAGTTCCCATGATTCCCTAACCCTAACCCTAACCCTAAAAGTGGACTCAATTTGCACTATTTCTGGCAGTCTGCAACCCCCCATAGTCCAACACTCAAACCACTGCACCACGCTGGCTCTCTAGCTGGATATTTAGGGAACCTTTAAACCCTCTCCTGTTTCCAAGGGGCCATGGCACTCTAATATACCTGCATGTCCAGCACTCCCTATCAGCATAATGTACCAGTATATCTGGGAGAATATCTGCAATTTCTATGGCGTAGTGGTTTGAGTGTCAGATTACGACTCTGGAGACCAGGGTTCGATTCCCAACTCAGCCATGAAGCCCACTGGGTGACTATGGGCAAGTCACACTTTCTCAGCCTCAGGGGAAGGCAATGACGAACCTCCTCTGAACAAATCTTGCCAAGAAAACCCCATGATATAGGGTCGCCATATGTCGGAAACGACTTGAAGGCACACAACAACACCCAACCCTACCTGGAGGCCCATTTCTCCAACCGATCTAAGCTCTGGACATTAGTGTGTCCAGTCAGAGGGCCTTTTCTCGGTACCACCCCCCCCCTGGGACTTTGCAGACTGCTAGAAATAATGCAAATTGAGTCCACTTTAAGGGTTAGGGAATCATGGGAACTGTTTTTTTTTCTGAGACATTGAGCCTTCTCTGTCAGAGAGCTCTGGTGCCACAATAAAATACAGTTCCCATGATTCCCTAACCCTAACCCTTAAAGTGGACTCAATTTGCACTATTTCTAGCAGTCTGTAAAGGCCCTTTCTCTCCTGCCTTGCCAAGGTGTCCGAATCCCCTCTGGACACATCCTGGGTCTCTCCACAATAGACTCAATAAAACCGGTGGGCTGCTT